TGTATTACAATCCAATATACATGTATTTCTTCCAATATTAGCAGTAATGTTACATAAGATGTTATTTTGTGTGAAATATTTTGTATTGTTATTTTAATGCCTCTTAAATAAGTAGTTATGTTTAAATCAATTTCACCTGATGAAAAGTCTGCGTCCGGAGGTTATGATGAACACATACATTAATCACAACTAACACATTGCTGACTGTTAGATGTGGAGTGTGTTACCAAAATAGAAGTCCTTTGTATAGTTGACTTCTTCAAGTGTCAAGTGTGCAGCATCGAGGCCATGATCCTACAGTAAACTCATTTTAAGTCGATCCGATGAGTTAGTTATTGTTCACTTGTTGATTTGTTACAAAGGCAGTAAGGCTGTCAATGTGTGATGTTCTTTGTCTTGTCTACTTCTTTTCCTGCAATTTCCCATAGAGCACACATTTTTCTATCCCATCTTTTCTGGTATGGCCCAGAGACTTGATTTGTATTTTTTACTAACCTTAACCTGTCTTAATCATATGGGACCACGTTTTTTTTTATTTTTATTTTTTTTTTTACTACCATTCTTGGAACACCTTGTATGCGTCGGCCTACAAAAAATGATGATCAGTATATGTGACCGGTGTCATCAATACCTTAGTTGTGCAGATGACTTTATTTTTGAACTTTTAAACTGTTTGTACATGTATATAAGGGTAGGTGGGTATTTGCATAGTTAACATGACATAATATATATATGTGAATAAATAAAACAAAAGAAAAAAATTGTTATAAAGGATTTAAAGAAGAAGAAATAGCAAAAAATAAATTGGGGCTATCTGTTGATTCTTCAATGATCGGATTCAGTCCCACCGCCGAAAGGCCGCCACACAGAGACCAAAAAATGAAATGAAAACATCTAAAAAGCTGCTCCCTCCAACAAACTCCTACATAGCCCTATTCAATTCTCACCAGGACAATTAAGAAAACACATCTTTTAGCGGTGTAGTATATCCACGTTTTGTGCCACAGGTCTTTGTGGCAGTGTGAATAGGAAAAATGTTTGCACGACCCAGTTACAGTGTTGTGAATCACATTTGAACAGGTAGGAAGCGTAAACAGAAAAATGGCGTCCCACATTAGACTGGAAAGTGTTATTCTTTTTCAGAAAGTTAGCAACATTGATCCAGATTTTCAAGCCGCCTAAATAACGAGAGCGATAGCCAAAACATCGCTGCCATTTAATACTGTTCATTTTCTTTTTTAAGCTCACGTCTTCATCAACAATATTCAAGGACAAGTCGCCATTTTAACAAACAGCTGAGGTCAGTAATGGATCTTTGCATTCAGATCAGGATAGCTAAAGACCGTTGACGAAACAGACACGTCTTGCGGTATGGTACAAAGAATTGCCAGTAATAAGCGGAACCGTTTAAGACTATTATTTTTTAAACTAATCCCAATATTTGATGGACTTTACAATGAAATGTACATATGGCCTCGTCGTTTTATCCGACTGGTTAAAATAACCCCACAGATCATAGAAAATAAAAAAGTAATCAACAAACGACCGTCGTTGTTGTGGGAAAAACACGGTTCTACGAGGGCCCTCCAGGAAGGAACAGGATTTTTGTAAAATTTCCACACTGTTATATTTTATGTCTTCAATCTAAACATATATTTATTGCGAAAAAAGACATCACATCAATCGTTTTGTTCACGTAGTCATGTGTTTATATGTACCAATACTTGATTAACACCAAAATGGAAAACGAGAAAGAAGTACAGCAAGTCGACATGTTCAGAACATGGGGAGCAAGTGCTGGGACGTTAAGCAGGAGGATCATTGGGGCAAGTGTTAACCTGCGTCACAAATATGAAACGAGCATGCAAGAGGGGCAAATTGATTTGAAAACCAGTAAAATATTATTTCTTGGAGATTCTGGTGTAGGAAAGACATCCCTGCAACGTTATTTCAGAGGGAAAGATTTCGTAAAAAGTCACAATAGTACTCGAGGAAATGAAAAGCATCACGTGGAAACTGCCGACGTAACGGAAACATGGGAAGATGTTAAGGACTCTGAAAATGAACAGCAAAATGCTGCTAGTTACGTTACAGTGCAAATGACTGACAATTCTGCTCCCCAAGCAGGTGATCACGGACCATCGTTTGATCAACATGTCAAACTTGTATTTGGATTGCTATGCATATGTGTTGCTTTTGCTTTCTCTCCCGTTGGGTTGTGTTCTTTAAAAATCACGGGGTGCCTCTTCTCTATACTTTGGTTTTCTGGCAGCCTGCCCATGGGTATCAGATATGGCGAAGGTGTAGCTCTCAGTATATTTTACAGATATGCCTGTATCGAAATCCTGTACTCTGACAGCAATATGCAGCATAGAAAAGACAACCCAGATTTGTTATTGGAATTCCAACTTGGTGTTCTTTGTTGCGGGTTGGTGATAGGGTTTGTGTTAGGATTTGGGTGTAGGGCAGGAACCTCATTGGTTTTCAGCTTTGTCTGCCTTAAAAGTCAAGGTAGTATTCTTAACTTTTTATCAATTATTTCAAATATGCTCTATGAATGGGTTCATGACTTGAAACATGCATCATCTGTGTTTCTGATTGTCAGCCTTACATTGTTTTCATGTCATGCGTTCCATGCCAAATTGTTCCACGGGAAACGAAACATGAAGCAAAATTTAATTAACGTTTGGCCCCAAGTCATTGTTTCAAATATCGCAATTGCTCTCTTTCTTCAGATTTTAACTCAAGAAAAGTATTCAAAGACGTACAACCACGAGCGAGTGGTACTTGCCATTTTAACGTGGACAGGGGCTACAGCTGGCGTCCTCGTATGCAAGTGCACGTCACCAAACCTAATGCATAGTCGGTTTTACATTGGGTTGCCCGTTTACATTATATCAATTATCGCGTGTTCTTATGTTTTATATTGTCTCATTTTATTGTACACGGAAAAGTATGTCCATCATTATATGATTATCTTCTTGGCTTGTTTTAGCGGTGCTATGTTAGAGTACACGTCAATGATGCTCATTGGACGGTCTCTTGCAAAACTCTACGATTTGCCTTTCTATATACGCAGGACACTGGGCTTTATTCTAGGTGTCGGAATGGTTTATTCAATGAACTGAAAGGTTGCTTTTCTTCCTAGAGAATTTATTTTAGATCAGTTGTTGTCTGCTGGTATCGTTGCTGCATTCGAGGTGTGGGGCTTTTGGCAGGTGAAACAAGCAATGTCAACGGGAATTGATTTAACTAAAATAAGACTGGCAAAATCAAAATACGAGAATAAAATGCCAGGCATGGGTATTAAGTTTGTGCTAATTGATTGTGGAGGACAAGAAGAATATCATTATTTCCATCATTTATTCATACCAAAGGACGCTGTTTACATCATTGTATTTAACTATGAAGAAGCCAAAAGACTTAATGACGGCAACGAACTACGCATGCAATTCAAAAAGCTTCAATATTGGTTAAACTGCGTGTTGGCTCATATATGTTTGCCTGATGACAAAAATTACATAAATCACAGACCTATCTTCATTGTTGGGACACACAGGGACAGTGTTGATAAGGAGGTCAGACAAACAATTTCCCAGGAATTGACACATTTTTTTGAAAGAGAGGGTATCGACAAATACATTTCCTGGAATGAGGGTACCTTGATATTTGAAGTAGAAAATTCAGGACTGTGCAAGAGGGACACAGAAGGAAAAAATCTCAGGAAGCAAGTTGCGGGAATTGCCGCTTTAAAAATACAAAAAATCAGTATCAAATGGCTAAAGTTTTCGAAAATCATGCCAGAATTATCTCCAATAATAAAGATCTCAGAATTGAAAAATACTGTCATCAATAAAGGGGTCATTAAAGATGTGAATGACTTTGAAGAATTTGTCAAATACTTTAACAAGAGGGGGGATATTTATCGTCCCGACAATTATAGTGGCGATTGCCAAACAAGGTTTGTCATCTTGCGTCATGGGCAGTCATGGTTTGTAGACTTGTTTTTGGAAATTCTACGCATGATGAAAATAAAGGATAAAAAGAAAGGCATCTTAAACGAAAATACCATGAATCAGACATTAGACAGTAGAATAAAGAGCCTTTCTAAGCGCCAATTAATGGCGCTTGAAGATACAAAACTTGTAAGTGACATTTGCCGAAGACTTCTGGAAGAGAGTAACTTAATCGTTAAGGTCCCTGGCAGCCCATACTATCTCGTGCCATTTCAGTTGGAAACTGCTGGCCAAGAAGATAGAGACTATCTTTGGAAAACTTCACCACGCAATGAAATTAAGTTTGGTTTTGACTTTGGAGAATTTGAACCTAAGCCAATTTTCTGGAAGCTTACTTCTACTCTTCTTAAAATGAGCGGTGACATATAAGTGTCGAGGAAGAGAACTTTCGACAAACTGTGTACTCTGATTTTGCCGTCTTTACAGAACCAGTCACAGAATTCAAGTACAAACTTGAGATGAAATCCATTATTACACAGAACGTGATTTTGTTTACTACACGTACAGACCCTTATTTACCAGCAGGTGCCATAGAACAGCAAACTTACGAAGTCTTTGCTGGTCTTTATAAACAATTGAATCTTATATGCAGGTCGTCTTTCCCCGGGCAGAAATATTCCGTGGGACTAGTCTGTCAACTACAAGACGAACAAACTTGTTTGTGGGCGGAAAAGGTGAGCAAGTTTTGTTACCTGTATTTTCATGGTTTATAATTGAAATAAATTTTCATATATTTAATCGAATCGAGAAATTAAATGTTTGGCTGTGAAGAAGCGAGAAAGTGTCGTTGACGAACTTATGGATTAAACATCAACCGCATATAATCTGTACCTTAGTCAGGTTAGAGTAACAATAGGTGAAGTAATATAAAAACAAATGTGCATATGCATTAGGCAATGGTTGTTTTATCTGCAGGGTCACGTTCATATGTACCATCTGGGAGACAACAGATCTGGCCTCGAGTTATTTAATNAGGATCACGTTCATATGTACCATCTGGGAGACAACAAATCTGGCCTCGAGTTATTTGATAATATTCCCAAGGGAATATCTGCTGTTTGTAAGTGTGGCGCTGCCCCAATGATGAAGATCTACCTGCACTCTGGCAAGGTAAGCAATGGGCATAATATTGTTGCAGCATAACTACTAAGTAGAAAAGTTCACAGACTTAAATGTGAAATTCAACATGATCGCGGAGTTTGATGGTTGTAAAACTAAAACAGAAGCACTTGCGTTTCTTTTTTTGTTCAAAAATAAATCGTCGAAAGAAGATGAGAGAAAGAGGGGGGCTTTACAACTGTCATATTTTTGCTTTATATTAAACTTAAACTAAATTCACATTTTATGGCTACGATAGTTTTAAACACATCAGGATTGATTATTACCTCTTTACAAAGTGTTACTGTCAGTTTGAATGAAATATTTCATATTTCTAATTATTTTGCTTAAATTATTCAATATTAAGACAACTGCCTTGCCTTTTGTAATCAAATTCAAGGTTTGTAATTTTGTAGTTAACATAAAACAAAACAAAAATTCAAGGTGTTTATCATACAATGGATGTTGGTCTGCAGTGCCCTCCATACATTTGTGGAGCGATTCAGAATAGGAGATCCGAGTATTAACTGATCTAAGGATCAAATATGGCGGACCCTAAATGAAAGGTCTCCTGTAATGGTCTCTCCGCCTATCACACGCCTCCCCACACGTCGTCCCTGCAGGGGCACAGTGATTAAATATCGGCTACATTCGACCAGACGCGTGGGGAGGCACGTGAGAGGCGGAGAGACCATTATTATTATTATTATTATTATTATTATTATTATTATTATTATTATTATTATTATTATTTTCACCAAATTTGCAACCCGATGTTTGGATAATTGCTATCATTGCATAGTAGTTGAATAAAAGTAAAGGGATATCAAAAGATATATATATATAAATTGAAACAAAATAACTAAAATGCAAGGTTAAAATGAAATAAAAGTCTATCGGTTGATTTTGAAACTTGTATATCGCACGGGTTAAAAAGTCACTCAGGATTACAGGATAAAGTGGTTTTCCTTTTCATGTAGAATTCGCCATCTTTGATCCTTGGATCAGTTGATACTAGGGCTTTCTTTTCTAAATGGTCCCCATGTCAATCAACTGGTTGTTACAATATTATTACCTCCGTCAAGGAGGTTATGTTTTTATGTCTCCTCCAAACTTTCCTTTGGTTCGGTTAGTTTGTCTGTCTGGCTGTCTGTCTGTAAGCAACATTACAGAAAAAGTTATGGACCGATTTTGATGAAATTTTCAGGAACTGTCAGAAGTGGGCCAAGGAACAGATGATTAGTTTTTGGTGGTAATCCGGATCAGTAATCAATTAATAGTCAATAATAAAAAAAACTGAATCATTTTAATATGAAAATTTAGGGGTGAAACGGCATTGAGTGGAGACTGCTGCCTTGGCGGATGTCTGCGCTTTCGGAGTGCTTTTCTAGTTATATTTTATAACTTTCATTTTAGGAACCTCAAGAAAAAAGGAGACAATTCGAAAATCTTAAAGCCAATTGGAGTCGCTTTGAAGATGACCTCAGCCCTTTACCTGTCTTGTCCTACCTTTTAGAAAATGATGTTCTGGATATAGATGGCGTGGATTTTATTCGGGATGCATGCAGTAGTTCACGGAAAGAGGGGTGTTACGAACTACTGAAGAGAGTGTATAAATGTTCTCCAGAAAGAAATCCAATACGTCACTTTTGCAGCGTTCTGCGTCAGAAAAATTTCTCACATCTTGCTGATCTGTTGGAGCCATCTCCAGGAACTGCAGATGACACGGTGGTGAAATTGCTTTGACAATATCAGTCAAAAGTGACCGTAAACCTGCAGAGGGTAAATGCACATTTCATTTGCCCTCATCATTCAAATGTCTTATTTGAGGAAAATGGCGAAATGTACACGAATTAGCCAAACCTAGGACAAATTGTGCGGTCATCAACTGCTGTAGCGACCACGTTGTTATCGTCAACCAGTCTCAATAACAAAATCAGCGGCTCTTTGCTGAGCATTTCTATTTCCTTTAACTTTAAAAAAGTACATGTACTGCATTAAAAGGAAACAAAATTATAAACCAAACGTCACTATTTTCATCATGTATTACAATCCAATATACATGTATTTCTTCCAATATTAGCAGTCATGTTACATAAGATGTTATTTTGTGTGAAATATTTTGTATTGTTATTTTAATGCCTCTTAAATAAGTATTTATGTTTAAATCAATTTCACCTGATGAAAAGTCTCCGTCCGGAGGTTATGAGGAACACATCCATTAATCACAACTAACACATTGCTGACTGTTAGATGTGGAGTGTGTTACCAAAATAGAAGTCCTTTGTATAGTTGACTTCTTCAAGTGTCAAGTGTGCAGCATCGAGGCCATGATCCTACAGTAAACTCATTTTAAGTCGATCCGATGAGTTAGTTATTGTTCACTTGTTGATTTGTTACAAAGGCAGTAAGGCTGTCAATGTATGATGTTCTTTGTCTTGTCTACTTCTTTTCATGCAATTTCCCATAGAGTACGAATTTTTCTATCCCGTCTTTTCTGGTATGGCCCAGAGACTTAATTTGTATTTATCTACTAACCTTAACCTGTCTTAATCATATGGGACCACGTTTTTTTTATTTTTATTTATTTTTTTTTACTACCATTCTTGGTACACCTTGTATGCGTCGGCCTACAAAGACATGAAGATCAGTATATGTGACCGGTGTCATCAATACCTTAGTTGTGCAGCTGACTTTATTTTGGAACTTTTAAACTGTTTGTACATGTATGTATGGGTAGGTGGGTATTTGCATAGTTAACATGACATAATATATATGTGAATAAATAAAACAAAAGAAAATAATGTTATAAAGGATTTAAAGAGGAAGAAGTAGCAAAAAATAAATTGGGGCTATCTGTTGATTCTTCAATGATCGGATTCAGTCCCACCGCCGAAAGGCCGCCACACAGAGACCAAAAAATGAAATGAAAACATCTAAAAAGCAGTTCCCTCCAACAAACTCCTACATAGCCCTATTCAATTCTCACCAGGACAATTAACAAAACACATCTTTTAGCGGTGTAATATATCCAGGTTGTGCGCCACATGTCTTTGTGGCAGTGTGAATAGAGAAAATGTTTGCACGACCCAGTTAGAGTGTTGCGAATAACATTTGAACAGGTAAATAGCATAAACAGAAAAAATGGCGTCCCACAGCTGATTGGAAAAAGTGGTTCTTTTTAAGAAAGTTAGCAACATTGATCTAGACTTTCAAGCTGCCTGAATAACGAGAGCGACAGCCAAAACATCATCGCCATTTAATACCGTTCATTTTTACTAAGCTCAATAATCGGGGATAGCCGGCATTTCAAGAAACAGCTGAGGTCAGTAATGCATCTTTGCATTCAGATTAGGATAGCTAAAGACCGTTGATAAAACAGACTTATGATGTGTTATGATGATAAGAACTGCAAGTTTAGGACTATTATTCTTTAAACTTATCCCAATATTTGATGCATTTCACAGAGAAATGTACATATGACAACTACGGAAAGACTCGTCGTTTTATCGGACTGGTTTAAACAACCCCACATATCATAACTTCACAAAGGCCTTCGGTGTTGTGGAATAAAATACGATTGTATGACTATCATCTAGGAAGGAAAAAGATTTTTGTAAAAGTTCCACATCATTTTATGTTCTTTAATCTAAAGATATTGTTTCACAATTCCGTAGTCATGTGCATGTATATACCAAAATTTGATTAACGCCAGAATGGAAAACGAGAAAGAGGTTCAACAAGAAGACGTGTTCAGACAATGGGGGGCAAGTACTGGGACATTAAGCAGGAGGATCATTGGGACAAGTGTTAATCTGCGTGAAAAATATACAAAAAACTTGACAGAGGGGCAAATTGATTTGGAAACCAGTAAAATATTTTTCCTGGGAGATTCTGGTGTAGGAAAGACATCCCTGCAACGCTATTTCAGAGAAAAAGATTTCATAAATACTCACAATAGTACTCAAGGAAATGAAAAGCATCACGTGGAAACTGCCGCCGTAACTGACACTTGGGAAGATGTTAAGGACCCTGAAAATGAACAGCAATATGCAGCTAGTTACGTAACAGTGAAAATGACTGACATTTCTACTCCCCAAACAGTCGATCACGGATCATCATTTGATCAACATTTCAAACTTATATTGGGATTGCTATGCATATGTGTTGCTTTTACTTTCTCTCCCGTTGGGTTATGTTCATTGAAAATCATGGGGTGCCTTGTCTCTACATTTGTGTTTTCTGGCAACTTGCCCATGGGCATCAGATATGGCGAAGGTGTAGCTCTCAGTATATTTTCCAGATATGCCTGCATCGAAATCCTATACGCTGACAACAATATGCAACAGAGAATAGACAACCCTGATTTGTTCTTAGAATTCCAACTTGGTGTTCTTTGCTGTGGATTGGTGGTAGGATTTGTGTTAGGATTTGGGTGTAGGGCAGGAACCTCATTGGTTTTCAGCTTTGTCTGCCTCAAAAGTCAAGGTAGTATTCTTAACTTTTTCTTAATTATTTCAAATGTGCTCTATGAATGGGTCCATGACTTTAAACATGCATCAACTGTGTTTCTTATTATTAGTTTGACTTTGATTTCATGTCACGCTTTTTATGTCAAATTATGTCACGAGAAAATAAACATTAAGCAAATGTTAATTAAAGTTTGGTCCCAAGTCATTGTTTCAAAAGTCGCAATTGCCCTCTTATTTCAAATTTTAACACAAGAAAAGTATTTAAAGATGTACAGCCACGAGCGAGTGATAATTGCCGTTTTCACAGGGACAGGGGGTGCTGTTGGCATCTTCGTTTGCAAATACACGTCACCTAAACTAATGCCTAGACGGTTGTACATTGGCTTGCCCGTTTACATAATAGCAATTATCGCATTTTCTTATATTTTATATCGTCTTATTTTATGGTATACGGAAAAGTGTTTCCATCATTATCTTATTCTCTTCTTGGCTTGTTTTAGCAGTGCTATGCTAGAATACACGGCAGTTATGGCGGGTCGG